ATTTTGTATCAGCAAAGTTGCTAATCTGCCAATTCTAAGTCTTTATAAAGTGCGAAGGAAGGTTTTACAAAATATACTGTAAAATGTAATTTTATTTTGTTGGAAACATCAGGTTTGAGCTCCGAAACGGAAATTTTTTCTGCTAACGCACGAACTGCAACGCCCAAAATTACTTATGTAAGTAATCATACATTATAAACAAATTCTTTTATTTTCTCTCTGGTTTTCATCTGTTATCATTACAAACTGATCTTTGACCATTCTCACCAGATACTGTCACTTATTAAGTATCCTCAATCAGTCAGTTACTCTTGAGTATGCAAAAGGCCAAAGATAAGTTTAAAACTTGATATTCATATAATTCATACACAATTATAAGTGAATGAAAATGAAAACCAAAACAAGATAGGATTATCCGATAGAATAATGGATTCTTTATTATTCTTGCCCTTTTTTATTAATCAACAAGCGTATTTTTAAAAAGACGCGCAATTGCGATCGGATTACCTTTAAAGTTTTCATAAAACTAATTCTTTAAGACAGTTATTACAAATTTGCATCAAGACACGACACGGTTTAATTATTTGTTTCAATATTTTTTAATTGTTCTATCTAGTAACGTAAAAATACTCGATTATATTTTACTCGAAAATCTAAAAATCGTTCAAAACCAAAGTTGGTTGAGCTTTGACCGTGCCCCTTTTTTTTTCTCTGCCATAATTTCTGTCCGACATTCCTTGTACTTACAATAATACGACGAATACGACCCAAGAACAACTTCCTTTCGTCAAAGTTGAGGACCGACCGTAGGGTTGTACAAAGCAGTGCTTTTGGGGTGGTAAAGCGGCACGTCTTGCCTCGGAACTCGAAGTTACCAACAGACCAAACCAGCAGAGGCGTATATTTGTATGGATGTGTGCATGGAAGAGAACCGTTCTAAGAAAACACCCTATTTTATACCTGCACCTCTCATATTCTCAACAAAAATCCTGTTTCTTTGATGAACTGGCTATTGTACAGGACGAACCTTTGAATTCTCATTCTCTCTTCTTTCGAAAACGTAGGGGTCAAAATATATTATGTATATGCAAGTTCGTGATGCGAGCAGCGGGATATGACACAAAGACAGCATAGTCGGCATTTCTTACTATTATACCTGTAGTAACTCCTCTTACAAAGCTCAAAGCTGATTTCAACGTCATTATTTGATAATAAATATTTTAGGCTATTTTAATAATAAACTCCCAATAGCATATTTGTCATATTTTCAATAAAACGCCTTTTTCTGTAGAAAGCAACTAAATCCTAAATGCTTCTTACTTCACGAAAATATTAAATATCATTAACAAACCAAGATGATAATAAACTTTCGAAACAACTCACGTGTTCGTCCATCCGTCTGTTTGTTCATCACAGCTGTGCTTTTCAGAAACCCTCCGATAGAAGCTTCAAAATTGGCATAGTAATAAATCATATTGACCTGCTTATTTTGCAGTAGTTAGCACTCAAATGTATTTTATATTAACTAATATCGAGAAGGGACAGGAGGTATTACTATTCAATTTCTTTAATTTTTAGAACCAAGTGAGATTTTCCTTTTTGGCCAAAAATTACCTAAAATGATTGTAACTCGCCTATAGTGCAAAACAGAGGAATAATAACTTCCTGTTTCCGACGTTTGGTAGATTGCAATTTAATGCACTGCGGGTGGTCCCCGGTTATTAGATTAGACATGCATTGTTAAAAAAATTAAAGAATTTTCGCCCAACGAAGTTCCTTACTAACTTTGAGGCAACAGGGATAAATGCCAACAAGGTTGAATTTCCAGATGCTCAAGTAAATGGTTATAATTTCCACTTCAACCAAAATACAGAAACTGGAATTATCAGTGCCCTACAAAATCGACTCACAAATTCTGGAATTTGAAGATGGTAGCTACTTTGCTACTTCTAAAGAAATTTTATGACTAGTTTAACGACAACTGGAACTTTAAATTTACTGAGGAAAACTATATCATACGACCAATGTTGTGGGAAGCTGATGCAAGAGGTTCATTGGGAGAATTGGAAAGGGAAAGCTTATTCTAATATGCATATACATATACATATTCATAAAAGCGCTGGGGGAGGAAATTTACTTCTACATCGCAATCTACAAAAAAATGTGTAGCGTTCACACAGGCAGTGTCCCAAATGATCTAAGAAGTATCGTGAATTGGATGACCGATTAAATAAAATCGTCACAGGCCTGGCACAGAACAAAATGGATATTCGTGGCACTCTAAAGAGATTAGTCTATTCTTTTTATGAACTGTACATAGTTAAGGAATTTACCGTTTCATCTACGACTAGGGTTGTCAACTTTAAGGCTTTACATAAAATATTTCTCGACTAAAAGGTTAAAAAAAAAAAGTACTCGGCATAAAAATAAAGTTTAATTTTTTTGTTTTTAAAAACATATTTTTTGTTACACCTAGCAGCCAGTAACAAATTGCTGTCGCTCTTAAATACATTAATAGCCTCTAAACATGGCAAACAAAGATTTAAGTAAACTAAAAGTTCATTTTTAATTAGTTTTAATGAAGCTTTATTCCTGTCGTCCCGCCACTTTGCGTTCATAACAGAGAATACTCTTTCTGTAAATGCTGAAGTGGCCGGAACGGACAGCAAAAGTGACACTACTTTGAACAGATTTGGGAAATCAGGTTGTTCCGTAAATATGGCTTGCCATTTTTCTGTGCAATATTATTGATGTAAAAATACTCTGAATTTCGAATAATCGCTTACAAAATTACGATGTTTACTTAAGGCCATAAATAAAGTATTTTTGCGTACTTTATGTGTCTTGTAAAGTATAACGTACGCACAGTCGAAATAGAGTACAATACTTTATAATAAAGTACGGGTGGCAACCCTACCTACGACTGTTAGATAATGGCATTTTGCTAGAAAAACTTTTAAACAAGCCAATTTTGTATCAGCAAAGTTGCTAATCTGCCAATTCTAAGTCTTTATAAAGTGCGAAGGAAGGTTTTACAAAATATACTGTAAAATGTAATTTTATTTTGTTGGAAACATCAGGTTTGAGCTCCGAAACGGAAATTTTTTCTGCTAACGCACGAACTGCAACGCCCAAAATTACTTATGTAAGTAATCATACATTATAAACAAATTCTTTTATTTTCTCTCTGGTTTTCATCTGTTATCATTACAAACTGATCTTTGACCATTCTCACCAGATACTGTCACTTATTAAGTATCCTCAATCAGTCAGTTACTCTTGAGTATGCAAAAGGCCAAAGATAAGTTTAAAACTTGATATTCATATAATTCATACACAATTATAAGTGAATGAAAATGAAAACCAAAACAAGATAGGATTATCCGATAGAATAATGGATTCTTTATTATTCTTGCCCTTTTTTATTAATCAACAAGCGTATTTTTAAAAAGACGCGCAATTGCGATCGGATTACCTTTAAAGTTTTCATAAAACTAATTCTTTAAGACAGTTATTACAAATTTGCATCAAGACACGACACGGTTTAATTATTTGTTTCAATATTTTTTAATTGTTCTATCTAGTAACGTAAAAATACTCGATTATATTTTACTCGAAAATCTAAAAATCGTTCAAAACCAAAGTTGGTTGAGCTTTGACCGTGCCCCTTTTTTTTTCTCTGCCATAATTTCTGTCCGACATTCCTTGTACTTACAATAATACGACGAATACGACCCAAGAACAACTTCCTTTCGTCAAAGTTGAGGACCGACCGTAGGGTTGTACAAAGCAGTGCTTTTGGGGTGGTAAAGCGGCACGTCTTGCCTCGGAACTCGAAGTTACCAACAGACCAAACCAGCAGAGGCGTATATTTGTATGGATGTGTGCATGGAAGAGAACCGTTCTAAGAAAACACCCTATTTTATACCTGCACCTCTCATATTCTCAACAAAAATCCTGTTTCTTTGATGAACTGGCTATTGTACAGGACGAACCTTTGAATTCTCATTCTCTCTTCTTTCGAAAACGTAGGGGTCAAAATATATTATGTATATGCAAGTTCGTGATGCGAGCAGCGGGATATGACACAAAGACAGCATAGTCGGCATTTCTTACTATTATACCTGTAGTAACTCCTCTTACAAAGCTCAAAGCTGTCACTCTATTCCAGTCTCGTTTCTGAACAGGACAACAACCTTTTTCTTTATATTAATATTAATTCTTGCACTTCAAGTCGGCACTTTTTGTTTCTATAAATAATGCCGTACCTGTTATATTCCAAGAATTCGTAACAAAAATTTGAACTTGTATTTTGCAATAGACAAAATTGAGTAGGTTTTGAAGAAAAATGAACCGTTTCACAAGAGAAACATTGTGGAGAAAATGCGTGTGTACTTTTAAGCAGAAACTGAAAAAGTATTAGCATCTGTTTCTATAGAAATTAATCTTTTCATCAAAATACTGTTTTTGAGATTTATTTTTCAGAGCTTTAGAACGCCTAAAGCACAAGAAATATTTTTGGTAAATATCGCTTTTTATTCTTTCATATCTTTAAGAGTTTCATCAAAGCGCACATTTTAGTTCAAAATATCTTCAATACAATATCAGTGATACGTGACTGTACAAAATGCCTTACAATAATAATATTTAATTAAGAATTATAGTGATTATCTGCAATGTAAATCTGTCGATTTTATCAAAAGCAATGCATCAGAAAACAGAAAAATATTACCTAAATATTCAAGTTGTTGATCATGAGATAATACAAGCATCTCAATCTAATATCTAACTATTTATATTATCTTGTGAAATACTGCACTTTAACACATTAACGTAATTAAAAATTGTTTTACGTTCCAAAAACTCATTATCTATTCATTACCATTGTAACTGTAACATGTTCGATAATACGTGACTTCGTAATATTATTTACCATTCAAGAAGCATAGTTTGTATGTTTTACGTCATTAAAAGTGCTCGGCCACAAATAATAAATCTAAATTAAAAAATGTTCTTTTCTAGTTTGCAAGTTTATTTTTACTTTTACCTCCTAAAGTTGTTTGAATTGACCAATTGAAGGTCTCGCGTCTGCAGCGCCGACCGACACTGCGGCAAATGAATGAAACGAAGGGAAATCAAACATGGCGTTACTTGTTTTCAACAGACGTCAATATTTGACAAAAAAGTGTTTTTAAAGTGTTCACTGCCAACATGGATTCAAAGAAAAGCCCAATTCGTCGAGCAAAACGTCAAGCAAAAGTGGTAGAAGATAATTTTTGGGATTGCAGTGTGTGTACATTTAGAAATACAGCAGAAGCTTTTAAATGTCTGATGTGCGACGTGAGAAAAGGTACATCTACTAGAAAACCTAGAATAAATCCCCAATTGGTAGCTCAACAAGTGGCTAGCCAATATGTACCTGCCACCAGTAATCAGAAAAAAGAGAAAAAAGACAAGAGGTCAATGAAAAAACGGAAGCACCCGCCCAGACTCAAGAACGTCGATAGGAGCACTGCCCAAACAAGAGAAGTTACCGTTAACAGTGTAACTGTAATTATTACAGAATATAAACCAAAAATTAAAAATTCAGAAACTATGTCAAGCTCCAGTTCTTCGGATCATGGTTCGCAATCAGAATCCAGCATGGATGCGCGGTAAAAAATTTATTTATTCGAACAATGTGTTAATGTGTACATATATATGTGTACAAAGGGGTAAAGTTTAAATCAACAGTTCGTGTGCGTGTCAGTGACTTGCCGGACGATGACTTACGACGTCACACTAGTCGGTTTGTTTTGATTTTTATTAAAAATTTAAGTGTTAACCAGAGCTACAGATAAGCGACCAATTCAAGAATGTCCTGTGTGCTTCACAGCAAAAAAAAAACCAGCAAACATGTGTGAATGTAAGTGTAAATGTGTTCGCTATAATAGTCTCCATATTTTGTAAACTTTTCATTTTTCTCCTAAGGAGAACTTATTGTATTTCACAAAGTGTTGTTCAAAATGTTTTGATGATAATGCATAGGTATAATGCATTCAGTTTGCATTTTATCGTGTAATAGATAATGTAGAAATGTATTCAGTACACCCATAATTCAATCTAAAGTTTTATTTTCATAGAAACTCATTGCTGTGATATCAAAAATGCTTATATTTATATACCGCAAATACTGACGTTTGTTCCAAGACAACTGCATACATATTTCGATAGGTACTTGAAATTGGTACCGTTATTTGGTAATATTAAATGGATGTGGGTGTAAAAGTACCTTATAAAAATAACATCTGAATTGTGTTTATATCATTTTTATAGTATAACAGGTAATTAGTACTAAGACGGTAAAAAGTAATTTTGTTGCATTGTTAAACAATTTTGATTTGAACACCAGTCGAAAATTAAATGTTTGGTTGGAAACATCCCTTTGCAGTTTGCACTTAGGTACCCATATCTTCAAAAAGTTGAAAAGCGTGTTTACTTTCAACACCAAAATCTACTTTTTTCTTATTATGTAAACTGTTCCTTAGTAGTAATGTTTTTTTCATTCATTTTAAAAATTTTCAAAATTCCTATGTGTTCACTGCCATGAAATAGTTTTAGAATATAAAATTTAAAATATAATTTCTACAGCGAAAAAGCGATATCCTCCAAGTAATTTTCATTTATTTAAGACTGAAAAGCTTTTGATAAATTAACAATTAATTTAATAAACGATGCTGGGTATAATTATGACCACAAATCATATAAATATTGTAATTTTGTATATAAAATTTGAAATGCATTTATACCTAATTAATTTATGTTCTAAATACCGTTCATTATCCCTTATTAATGTTTGTTTTATTTTTATAAACAAAGTACATATGTATTTATAGCACTTGGTTAATAAATGAATTATTATTTATGTGTTTTTTATATGCTTACTGATCCTGTTTATATTTTTTATATCAGCGTAGTATATGTTGCTTGAATTTTCCGATGGACTAAAAAATCTTGTAAGTTATACATTTTCTCTTGGTGAACTCGAAAGTAAAAAAAAATCAGTATTATTTGATTTAATTCTAACTATATGTTGATGCAACTACAAACAAAACCATGATTTATAAAGGTAAGTGTCTCTTGTAATTATAATTTTTGATTCTTAAAAAGTTTTTCAAATCATTACAGTACAATTATAAAAGTGCAAGTGGTACCAGTACCAGTACCCGTGCGATCTTGCAAATTTTCTCAAACAGTCATTTTATCTAAACATGAGTCATATTTTGTGTTTTTGATTAAATTAACATGAAAACTTGAATGTAATCCGTGCAATTCTCTCTTAAGAATTATTATAAAAACTATTAGTCAAGATTTGTTAAATTGAGCTTTCGTTTTATTTTCTCTTGGAAAAGTTTCACTTGAGATTGCAAGGAAGCAGTCAGTAATATTTAGAATTATCAAAATTATTGAAATTATAATTTGTTGTCATCATCATCATCATATAAAATCGTCAGTCCTAAGTTTAGACACGCATCTCTACTTTTTCCTACCCTGAGCTAATGCTTGCCTTTTCCTAAAACTAGAACATCCCATTTGTTGTCCTATTAATTTTTTAATTTTTAATTATTATTTGTGTATGGATTATGGGGTTTAAAACGCTTCCTTTATGGGGTTATATGTTTTAGGGTTCGTAACGCTTGCGATATAACAGAATATGATAGTTCAAGTGCGGGGGTTATAGGGTTAAATGTTTAATGCTTTTGATCAATGTGTGCTTTTTTAATTTTTATAGACCAAATTTGTTTTATAGCCAGTCCGGTCCTGCAATTTTCAAGTAGAGGAATGGAAGTAGAGATATGAGATATCTCAATACTATTCCAAATGTATTATAGTGAAGCTTTTGTAAAATTCGTCGTAAATTTTACAATGACGATCAGGCAAGATTTCACTTTTGCAAAAACATTTACTGCACTTATACGATAAGTAAGGCCTAATTATACGATAAGTTTAGTTTTTCTCGATTTTTCGCAACGTTTTAGTGAAAAGTCTTCATCTACTTTTGAGGGCACGAGCCATTACTGAGTTTCTTAAATATTATCACATTTAAATAATAATTAATCAATTAACAAACTTTTCGTTGACGACAAATGATTAACTGTTTATTTAAAAAATTATTGCATTAAAACAATATAACACAGAAAGTATTTAATACAAATAAACACAAAGAGATAATTAAATAAAATGTGTTGTTTACTTGAGCAGATGTAAGTTAAGTATATTGTGGATATGTATTTAGGAGTATACAATGTAAATTTAGTTCGTAATTATGTAACATTGTTAATTCTCAATTTGTACAGTATCGCATTCAAATTATATTAAGTATCCAAATGGATTCCTAGAAAAGTTATTTTAAAATTAAACAGACAATTAAATTCCAGAAATCTCTCAAGTGCACAACAAGAGAGTAATTTCTAGTGGGTGTACCACTGATAATAAATTTTACAATTTAAACAATTCAGGTATATTTAATTGATATTGTTTTATTTATACGACGAATTTTAATCAATCTATTATGATTAATGTATTTACAATATGTAGTGATAATAATTTATCTTAATTCGTTAAAAGAAATTCATTATCTGCATGTAAGGTGTCATCATAGTCAACTAATTTTGTTATTATTGTTATTTACACCGTCATGAATACTGTTGATATTATACTACATTTTATTTTTATAACAACGATTTGCATTTCGTGTAGTATTTCATATCAAACAATCCTTTGATTAAACAATTAGAAGCAGAAACCAAAACCTATTGAAATACGTATATAGGTGTGCTAGAATATTATGAAAATCGATGGGTGCAATTTTGTGTAGTTGAAAAAGGTCATTTTTCTATAGTATTACATGTGACTGACCGTCTGGATGACCGCAGTTCAACCAGCATTTTTTAATGGAAGTTTGAAGGTAGATTTATATTAATATAAGGTCAATTTTGGCTATAGGAATTTATGTACCAACACCTACCATTACCACTAGGCAGCGGTTTCCAATCTTTTTTGCTACGAATCCCATTTTGCTCTAACTCCATCTCGACAAAAAGGTTTTCCGTGTGAACTGATAATAATTTTATATATAAGACCCCTGGCACCTCATTGTGTACCTACATGTTGCAATCTTTAACTTACATTTTGAATTCAAAATCTTAATTGTACGCATTTAATGTGCACATTTTTACTTACCATATTATTAAAATTAGGTTTAATGTTAAATTCGAATATTCAGAGTATCCAGTTTAATTCTGAATTTGTTTTTTCTGTAGGCGTAAACTGAAAAGCTCGTTTGTAATCTGTGAGTCGATAAAAATCGAAACAGAAATCGTAATAACCTTCTCAATGACTGCAAACTATTCACCTGTAAGTTCAAATCCAAAAGTAATTCAATTTGAATTAGTAGATTCGAATTTTTGATTTTAATATCGAGCAAGTTCTCATTTTCCGACACAGGTAACATTGATGGTTTAGGCTGATGTGCGAATGAATTCTGTACTCGATGGATGTCTTGCAACTCCCCTGAAAAATATTCTTTCAAGGGTTCTTTCTTTCACAAAAATAGCGACACTTGTCCCTATCATAGAATGAAGTGTTACTAGGGTTCAGCTTTTCATTATTGTTTTGGTTATGAAAAATATGCCGTTTATAGAACGATTGCTTTTCGCAGAATTATCTATAATTTTATTAGGACAAAAAATGACGTATCTCACGAAATCCCTGCGAACACCATTTGGAAACCGATCCACTAGAGGGTAGCAAAGTTTTTGACACTTTTTGTTACGAAAACGTTATGATACATTTCAAATAGATTACTGATAGACTTCATTACTAGTGAGTGAATATTAAGATTAACGATGCAACGGAAACAGAAATAAATGGTAAATTTTTGCGGAGGCGGAAACGGGAGCGGAAGTGTAATGATTTTAGGTGATTCTTTAATGTAGTGGTTGTGCGCTGTTTCCGTGAATATTTTGCATTTAGCACTTGCATTGTTAACATCAACAAAATAATCCCAAATGGAATTTCTTTTTGGCTTCAAAATTGCACTTTAAACATAAAATTTACACCATATACAAAATAAATAAACGCTATAACTGTATTAATATTTTCGAAATGAAATTATTAGCAGACCTGGCTAAGGGCTAAGGCTAAGCTGAAAGTCCTGGACGTTTTTAGATTAAAGTAGGAAACCAACAAGAGAATAAAATTTGGAAAATATCAACGTACGAAATAACACAATTGCTTATGGCTCTTTATAAATAATAATAAATAAAAAACAGAAAACATTAAATATCTGGACTTTATAAGCTAGATTGTGAAAATTTCACACTAATACTAATATACTAAAACAGAACTATTGAAATAAGAGAAAAACAACATAAAAGAAGATATGATAACTTGAAGAAGTAAGTACATATGTCAATTATGTCTTCCGCCCTACACTCCAGCTTTTAGGTAGAGTATATATAGATCGAAAGGAACAGTATAATTGGCCTATAGGGATGAAACGCAAGTAAATTATTATATAACTTTTTACAACGATCTGATACCCTTGTAAGATGGAACAATTGTTATCAAAATTTTTTATCTAATAAGCTAACATAACTCTAATAAAAAGTTTTTAAAAATTACCATAAAAATGCTTCGTTGTATAATTTTTCAATTTCAATGTGTTTGGTAGACTTGGAGTCGAGACATGTATTTGCAATTAACGTTGACTTCTAAATGTTTTTTTAATCGATTTGGTTTTCTTTTGCCTACACAAATTAACTAATATTCGTAGCTTAGATGGTGGTTGCTGATTGTAAGTCTGGTTCTTTCATGAACAATCTAAATAGTTCTTTATGATTTTCAAAATTTTCTTAAGACAAAGAGTGCTTTGTTACAATAGCAAAAAATATAAACCGAGTAATCAATAACCAAACGAGTTAAATTTTGGGCTTAAAAGCTTCCTCCAACAGGAACCGTGAGACAATAAGGTCACTCCCTCTCCTTTTCTTACGAATTTTCTTCATTGCCTGCCAACTTAGAAACTATTCGCTTCAAACACAAAGACCAAAACTGTAATAAAACAGCAATTAAGCACGTTCAGGGTGTGCTGTGTCAAGTTACGAACTGTACTTATGTTAGACAGGAATTTCATTTTGGCAATCATTAATATTAATCTCGTACCATCAATATAACGAAATTACAGTTGTGTTACCCTCCGAAGTGTGACAGCCCGTTGCCCAAACCTGACACGACTCGTTTATGTAAAACAACGAAGAAAAACAAAAGTATTCTGTTTATCTATGATTATATAGGTAAGGCAAAATTTAGACTGATCATACAAATTACACGTCCCTTTTTATAAATATACTTTTTCAATCATGTCTATTTAAAAATATCACATGCTTCTTTAAAAACTGTTCTAAGCCAACCGAAATCTTTTGAACTAAATGTAGATTGCATTTATTGGACTTACTGTATCTATTAGATTATGTTTAATGCATTTACATTTAGCTTTCTATTGTTTTCGCTTTTCTATTTTCCTCCTCCATAATATTTCTCTCATCCTTTTCAGACCATACTTTACTTCCACGTGAATTTCCCATTATTTGCCGTCCTACTCTCACTTGGCAGCCATTTACTCTTTGTTCTTTCGTTTTTCAAATAATTTGGGTTTTTATCCCCTTCTTTCCATATCTTTTTGTATTTCTGTACGAATTTTTAATTTTTCATTTTTTTTTTTTGTTTATCAATGTCTTTAGATAATCTTTCAAGCTCTTTCCATCACTTCTGTCTTTTTCCAATTTCCATCTGTAGTGTGTGACTCCCATTCTTTTTTCGTTAAAAAATCTTTTTTTTCCTTTTTCCATCTTTCTTTTGTGATTTTCCTTTCTTCGGTTTAAATATTCGATATATTATTCTTTTAATAATATATTGTCTTCTGAATTAGAGACTTTTTCTTCGTACTTTAAAGCTCTTTTCGAATATTTTGTGACCTATTTTTCTGTTTTTCTTTCTTCTTGTAATAAGTACATCGGTGTATTTCTATCTACATTTAAAATGTAAGTTATGTATCTCTTCTGAATGCTTTTAATTTCGTTTCTTTCTTCCCTCCACATATTTCCGCTCCGTACAATAATATGGTCTCTACTAATGTCTCGAAAAGGAACATTCTTTTCCCCAACTCTTTTTGAGATTTCTTTCTCCTATTCTCTATACCTTTCCCATTACCCCTATTGCTTTCTTTCTCAGTTTTTTTATGTGCCCTTATACCCACCAATGAGTTTAGATATATTATAGTTATGTAGGCACACAGATTAAGATAAAACAGAATTTTACAAATAAAACTTTCAATTATTGATTTGTTCTTTTTTTCTGTCGCATGTATTAAAGTCTCCTTTTCGTCCACGCACAAAATTTTTCTTTGATTAAACATGATCACACATCAATTAAGAATTATTGTTCTGTTATTACTGTTAAGTTACAGAGTTAGTCTAAATAAAGCAAAGTTTTAAGGAATGACACAAATGACAGACACCACAGATAGTGCAAAAGATGAATGGATAAAATTTCAGAGTTGGCTACATTATTTCCATCAGAATATCGTCAATACTGTTGGAACTACTCAATATATTACTCTATTATAATTAATTAACGAATGTTAAAAAGTAATGCAGTAATAGGCAATTTTCTTAGCATATATTTTGCAAAAGAAAACAATACTTTAATTATATCTTTAATTTCTCTTTTTCATTAGTATTTTTTAAGATACAAATGTAAAAAATGCCAATAACCTTTCCACTTGTAAAAGATTTTCCATCAGAATTGGTTAACTTTTTTAGATATTATTTCAAAAACAGAATGGAAACTTGCTTAAAATATACGAATTTGCCGTGAAATTTCTTAATGCGTTTAATCTTTCACACAAAGAATTTCATTTTCCTTTATCCGATATTATGATAAACCGATTATGCGACGAAAAACCAATATGCTTTGCCACAAAAAATTATTTACGTAAAAACCGTTCCCTTCGAAAAACCTGTGGAAACTTTGATGTGGATTAGGTAACAAAAAGTTTATGTTATATTAACTATTTTTAGACATTAGCATATCGATTTTAAATGGGAAGGTAGCGGCACAATCATCTGAATAGGGTCTTTTCGAAATTGACGATTGATACCAAAATAAAACATTTTGAAACTAATATCTACAACTTTTTGTTTTTGCTTCTGAGAAACAATAGAAAAACTACTTTAAACATCATATTTCTTGGTCAATATTGATATTCGAGAAGTGCCGATAGGTAAATTACGAATAACCTATAACCTTGACCTTAAGATCCAGTCTCAGACACCACGTTTTTCGATATAATTGAAAAGGGTCGAGTGGTCTCATTCTGAAAGCTGCTTTCATTCTCATTATTGTGTTTGATGCTCATACCTGCATGCCTACATGTAAGCACGAAGTTTTAGAACGAATCGATAAAACTGTGATCGAGAGCTGTTGCTAATTAAAACTCGCACAACTTATTAAATAAAATGTACACGTTAATATTCGTAATTAAGCTTTTAATGTAGGTAATACAGAAAAATATTCGCTTGAATTATGAAATAGCAGCAAATGAAGATTTTCAAAACAATATTAGCAGGGAAGTCTACCCAATAATATTGCATAAGAGTAGGTAAAGTTCAAGAGTGGACGAGATCTGTTTATTAGAAACTTTGCTACTTGCTACTCCTTAGAGAAAATCGATATATAAATAGGATTAGTTTTATAGGTTTTATCCAAGTGTCTGAAATTTCGTTATAGCGTAGACCACTGGTGTTTGAGTGTAAAAATAGCCTCCACAGTCCCATCGTGAACTGTGGTGGTTATTTGCCGGTAGTTGTGATAGTGTGAGGGAAATGGTGGTTGAAAGTGGTTGATCTAAGACGTTTTCATATTTCAACCGAAGTGTTTTATGAAATGTTTGGAATCTTTTATAATGCTCGAAACCTCTCCAGTTCAGTGGGTGTGTGGGTTTGTGGATGGATTACCTGTCACCAAACACCGGTTAACTAAGAATGTACCTACTAGAATGCTATTGAATGTGTTTAGTATGTTCCTCAGTTAGGCTGTTCTCGAATGTCTAGGACTCTTGACAGGTAGAATGTTCCAAAGTGAATTAGTCCAGAATTTAAGAGGACCATTATGGGTAAATGGTGGGAATAACTCCTGACACTATAAAGAGCATTGTACAGACACTTTGACCAAAGTGTTCTAAAAATGTTTGGAATGGGTCGGTGGGTTTGTGGTCGACTAAAGGTCACCAAACACCTATTTACGTCCTTGAATGTTTCTAGCGTGGTCGTCAATTTCAATACTCTAAAATGTCTACGACAGGATTGTTCTGTCAGAATGTTTTAGAGTAAACTGGACCGGAAGAAAGTTCTGCATTGTTTGAGGACTATTATATATTAGTGGATGAGCTGGCTTTGGACACTATATTAGGACATTTCGACTAGGGTCCTGAAGAATGTTTAGAATTTCCTATAATGTTTGAGATTTCTCTAGTCTGGGGTGCGTTTAGGTTTGAGAGTCGACCGGCAAATACCCGTTTAGGATAAGTGAGAATGTAAAGCTTGCAAAACGAGTTGATATCACATAGCATATTCAAAAAACTATCAATTTTTTCTGATACCTACTTCTCTTTAAAGGGACTTTCAGTTGTTTCCGATTAAGAGCTAGATCATGACAGATTAAAAATAAATCAATGCCACAGTTAAACCTCCCTGTTACTGTTGTGATTGTGTCAATAACTTCCCAATTGGATAATTAATTCGACTGTAAGAATGATGTCTACATAAAATAAGAAGGCTTATACAGTAAGTTCCTCTCGGTTATTTGTAATCATTGCACTAAGAGTGAATATATGAAAACTGTAAGGTCGTGGAAAGTTACTGCTTATTTCTTTTGATACAGGAATGCATGTAGTTTCAGGAAGTATAGAAATGAAATCTAGTCTATTTGCATCATTATCTACTTGAAGTATCTCAGGTTACAAAAAATGTTTGGAGTTCAATTTTAATTATTTGATTTTGTAATATGCCGCATTTTCGTTCTTTTTGTTCATCCAACCAATATCAGAGTTCATATAATTACATCGTAATAAAATACGTTATTGCCGTAAAAATATTCAGTTAGTAAAGGAGTGGGTTTCAAAATAGTATATAAGCCTCGCAAATTATTAATTAAAATCACATTCGCGTACAATTTCGTTAAAAAGTGTTTTATAAAATGTGGAGCCAACAGGTATGTGTGTTAGGTATTATATTTTAGTCAAATTGCAAAAAGAATAAAGACAAGCAAAGTCGGAAAATGCAGAGATTATTCTGAATTATTTTAATTTAATTTAAAATTAAAATGTAAAGAATGAATCTAATCCAATTAACTTGCCAAGTTACGGTCGAATATAGAAAGAAAGAAAAATAATGTTTCATTTACGAAATGTTCTTTAATTTTTCAGGTTATCATTACGTTATTATCCCTTGCTTATGCAATACACGGCGGAGATGTTACCGGTAATGAAGTGTCAGAAGGAAGCAGTTACGGCGGTAGTTCTGAATCGTATTACGGAACGCAAGCAATCCAATCAGGGATTTCCGGTTCTTACTATTCCGGTCAAGACGTATCAGGATACGCAGCTGGACAAGCCCCAAGTGATACTGTTTCAACAGTAAATCAGCAAATACCCGTTCCTGTCCCGCAACCAGTTCAGATACCTATAAACAACCCTGTACCATATCCAGTGCCTCAACCATATCCCGTTAATGTTCCCAGAGCAGTGGAAATTCCTGAACCGGTACCACAAAGGGTTGAAATACCTAGACCAGTACCAATAACAGTAACGCGTCAAGTACCATATCCGGTACCACAACCAATACAAGAACGAGTACCGTATCCAGTACCTTATTCTGTTCCACAACCTTATCCAGTTGAGGTTCCTCAACCAGTCCCCATAAGGGTTCCACAAACGATAGTCATTCCACAACTGCAGCCTATTAATGTTCAAGGAGGTGGAGGGGCACAACAAGGTAATTATTAAGATCCTAGAATGATTGTTTAGAATATGCTATATGGACGTAAATCGTATTTTTATTACATTTGTCATCTTTAACTGTTCGCCTAAAAGAGAACTCGAAATAGAGTAAAAAAATTATTGTAATGTCCTTATTGTCAATTTATTAATAATGCCAACATCAAATTCTAACCGTTTTGAAAAAAGTAGCAATTTGAAAATTACTTAACCTCACTGAAAGCACATTCTGTTCTTTAGTTTTATATGAACTTATATATCCTAAAATACCAATTTGCTTTTATACCCATTAGGTGGATACTTTGGCGGTTCTAATGGAATACACGGCGGAAGTTCAATTTATTCTAACGGAAAAGGACAAACAATTACATATACGTCTACAAATCATCTCGCTGGAGCAAAGAGTTCATCCACAATTGTCTTAGGATCGAAACATCATTACTAAAATGCAAAAAACGAATTTTCTTTTTGATTACGTCATATTTGTCATAATAAATAAATAAGTTACAAAAGAAAACGTGAATATTTTTTTACAGTATTTCGGATGGTGTACCCTGATATCAAATTTCTCTAACTCGAATCTCCTAAACGCAACCAGTTATATTCGAGTTAAAGAAAATTCTATTATTATACCATATGGTATACTATATATTATTTGATTAAGCGTAGGTGCTCTGGTTCCTAAATAATCAATTGTCTAATTTTTCCATCCAACAGCGAAAAGGAAAAATGTAATTATCAGTTTCAGGGAAATGTTCTGGTCATTTTCACATTTACTCACCTGAGGTACGGGTAAATTGGTAATAACCTCAGTATGAGGAAGCGAAACTATTGAAAGTAGGTAATTATTACGTACGTTTTCCTTCTAAACGGCGAATTTGGATGAGAACGTTGCAATTAATTAAAGATCTAAAGTACCAATGCAAGAACGATTGGACTTTTTTAAGGATTTTCACCTTCTGTTTATGTTTATATATTTTGATAATTGTTTTAGTATTAACCTCAAACGAATTAGTAAAAAATTGTTGATGTTGTCACTGTCTAACCCGGGCCCCTGGTTTTACATATCAGTACTCTACCATCCAGCTGCTATCGGTTTTGCTGTTGTCACCTCCTCGTAGCTTAGTTGTAGAGTCCTGGTGGTTAAAATCAGGAGCCCAACTTCAACAGTAACAGCAGCATCAAATTTTCCCTCATTAATTTGAAGTTATCTGTAGTGGGTAACGTTATACTTCGTTTACTTTCTGTAGCGATGTGACCTTCAGTTTGACCGACGCAAAGTAGAAAAGAACAGCACTAGACCAGAAAAGGAAAGAGACAATTCTCAGCCAAATTCTTAACCGGTGAGAAGCGTATAATCCTTACAGTATTGCACGAATACTGCACTGCAGGTACTGTATGAAAAAGTATGTTTAATGTACAAGAGTCGAGAGTATAATGAGTTTTTTCTCCCTACCTACGATTTTGCCAGCGCGCATTCAAGACACTGGAAGAGGCACATCGCTAGAGAAAGTAGATGAACTATAATTCAAAAAATTAATTCACTAACGCATTATTCTCCACATTTTTCTATTTTGTTTCCTGTATAAAACCCCTTAAAAAAAGCTCCTGGTGTAGAGATAAACAAAGTCATAAGAGAAAACGTAGTACAGTTCAACTATTATATGTAGTACCTATGTGGTTTCATGACGTAGAAATTTTTGCCGAAACGTTCTAGTTTCAGAGCTTCACTGATCGTAGCGATACTTCCCGAAACAGCCTATCCCTTTAACGGAATCGAAGCGGTCTATCCGCTTTAGACATGCACAGTGTTAAAAACTGTCCGTCGAGGCAGGAGGTGGTGGGAGTTGACGTCGCTGCTAGCAATGGGGGTAGGGGGTTCGGTTGGGACGTTGCGTTGGGACCGCACCACCAGAGGAGCGAATGCGAGGCGCCTCCGCCTGGCTTGACACGGGATATTTGTATGGGACGTTTCGAATACAAAAAAAGCACGAATTAGGGTAAACGTTTTTATTACACTTACGTTTATTACGAGAGTGAAACCTAATTTTAAACATATTTTCAAAAACTATCGCGGTATCTACAAACAAATGTACGATGCTGTATGATTCTGTTCTAAAAATTCTCTAATGGGACATTTCGAAATATTACTTAGCCCGATTCATAGTTTGGGCGGCGAAACTAATAATCAAAACGGGAAATAGATTATATAATATTATACGAACTACAAATTCCAACAAAGATCCATTTTTCTTTTAACTAACCATAAAATGGCACATTTTGCTTTTGCCGACTCTTTTGCAAGGCCAAAATAACAACAGTTGAAAAGCCAACCTTAATAACGATCCATTTTTATACTTTCTATAATGGGTACGCTTTGTGAATGTTTTCAATAAAAAGTGAAAGGATTTTTTGATTTGACAAGGGGTCGTTCAAGTATTACGTAAGCTATTACTAACCCCCTCCCCATCGTCAGCAAAAGTAAACAAGGCGCTCACCACCCCTCCCATGCTTACGTAAACATTGGTACATGCATTTTTCAACGAGTTTGATTCATGAGCAGCAGTTGTAAGTCCAAGCATAGACAAGTAGGGCTTCCGTATGTGTCCAAACCAAAATCGACTACATTTTGTAGAAAATCCGAAAAAGTAAATACTGCTGACGTAATCCCCACCCCCCATGTCATCAAAAATAAGCAAAGCAAACACCCTCCCTGTAGTGCTTGAATGGCCCCCCAATGACTCTATACAGAGAGTGAAATATACACTGATAATTCATAGAATTTCAAAACTGGCAATTGTATTTTAATCGAATGCTCACATAACTGTCATATTTTGGCTACTATTTTACAACAACCATATTTACCATCAACATAAAATATGACATAGCTAAATGGTTAGAAATTCAGTAATTAAAGACTCCTTTTTTCACTAGATGGAATATTTGTATAAAGTTTCTGACTGGAGAATTTTTGATATCGATTTTCGCAAAATTTACGAAATTTGATCTCTCAAAATCGTGTCGAAAAATCGAATGTTTTGAAACGTTTAGTACATAGGTGTAAAGAATTTTTTCAGTTACATATTTACACTTGATGGTTACTTTTTTATAGAATACTTATACTGAAAATCCACAATGTGTATAGATAATTCGTAAAAATCTAAGCAAGTGTTTGTTTTACAACTGTTTCGTTTAATTTTCCTTTTTAAAGCTAATTATTTCATACAAGTAATTTTAGAGCAAAGGAAAGTCTTCGGTTCCAATAACAAAATGGAGGAATACAATAACTCTTAATTATTTATTACTAATGTTCTTTCAACGACATACTAAACTTATTTTAATCGTTATATAATGACCATGTATTGCTTTATCTTTACCATACTTCTGCTCCACCATATTCTCAGAATTTGTTAATGATCCAAAAATCAATAACTTCTTGGTAGAAAATACTGCATAAGTATTAAAAACAATTTTGAAGCGCTTTTAATCGATTTTAATACATGCCCATTAATGGTCAATCAAAACATGCAGGCGGTTATAACGAAGAGAAGATACTAATTTGAAGCCAGCGTACACAGAGGTATAGGTTGGAGGAGACTATTGTTTTACGAACAAGATAAGAAATTTGTGAGCAACAACAAGACAGGACTTTTTCTTAGCAAGAGTAACATTTCTTGTTATGAAGCTAGCAAGAAGCAAGAATTATTGCTTTTTGGGCACAAGTCTACAATGTTTAAAAATAAAGACGAATGCCAAAAAGAACAAGAAATAGTAAGAATCAATCCAGCAAGGGATTGATACGACAAGAAGTAAAGTAACTTCTTGTTTTGTTAAGTAAGACAAGAAATCTTGATTTGTTCATCAATAGAGACTAAACAATGCAAATATAAATATCAATTAGATGATTTGTTAATGCATAAGAAGGTTTTCAGCTTTAGCCAAATTATCTAAATAAGAATTGTATGTATTTACAGCATTTGTTTTATTTTTAATTAGTACATTTCCAACAGGAAGTGGTGATAAAATTTAAAAATTAGAAATGTATAGTGACCAAATTATTCCTCATGTTATTTAAACGTTGTATGTAGGTACTTCCTGTAAAGTAATGCAAGCATATCTACACATAGTTATGTGCATTGCGTAACTTCGTCACGCTGTCTGTGTCCCAACTGACTCAATGCAAACTCACTCATTTAACCAATACAATGATATTTTCATCGACTTTTGTTTTCCGTTATATCAAAATGCAAATTCTTATTACCTTGAAAGAAATAGCCAATGTTGTTGCATAATTTCATACATACCTACGTCACAGTTATTAATAGCTGCTTCACTCCAAAAGTTAGTTTTTTATTCATTCAGAAATTCAACTGACCTAAACTTAATGTCAAATCGATACACGTACGTAATATACCAAGAAGGTGGACAGTGGACAAAATAAAGGAGTTGCCCTGTGTCATCAGAACTAACCGATATAAATACTATTAGGTAAAAATTCTCTTTTCTTCGAAATGAAATTAGTATTGGTAATAAAATGCAAAAATTAATTCTATCCTCTTACAAGGGTTCCAACATAGGGTTGTACTAATACCAAAGGGCAGAAGATGAATAAATTTTCACTAACAGAGACCAATACTTATTTCTGTCATTAATTTATGCTTTAAAAGCCAGATTTTTCTCTCTATCTCTCTATTTTCTTATGTTTACAGTAAATTAGCATGGCTTTGATCTTTAAGAAACAATAACGTCCCTTTCTTCATAGGTAACAGTAACACTATATCAGTTTGAAAAACTTATACGTTATTATACATAAATTTTGAATTATTCCATTCTTTGAAATTTCAACAAAGTCAGTTCCAAACAATTTCTCATACATACGACACGCCAACGTGATGAAAGTTATGTAGTTTCGCAAGTCTTGTCAGCTGGACAATATCCGAACTACAAAAGAGTTGCTAGTAACAAAAGCTCCTGGCGAAATTAACTACGGTGCCTTTCATATTACTTCGGTTGAAAATGGGAAAACATTCTTATTGAAAACTGAAAACAAGATCCTAAATAACAGCAAACAAAAAAGTTCACGAGAATTTTCCCTTTTTTGGGAAGTTTTCAATATAGGGATATCCAGCTGCTAATGTCGCTGGAAGGGCTCTTCTTCTGACCTACACTGCAATGCACATCAGAGGGTAGGGTCGAAGACTTTTTAGGAATTGTGGGAGTGGGTAGGTGATGGTCGGGGAGAGACAGATGAGACGGATCAAATGAAGACAGAAGAATAGTGGAATGTATATTACTTTATAAAAATACCACAGAAAAACTTCATTCGGGATAGGCGGCCGCAGGAACCGAACCATCCAATGTGTCCTCACTCACCAGTAGCAACAGCTTTGGTCATATTAACTTTGTGTAGATGCAATAATATTTCCTTTACATAATAAACACCAATAGCAATAAAAAA